TGAGTCTGGACCAGACAATCCAGTGATCAAAAGCATGAGTATCGATCTACGAAATTGGCACACGGTGACATGTGTTGAAGGGTGGATGTCAACATAATGTGGTTCACGAACGGCGAGACAGACTAAGTGAAACAAAGTCATGTCGAGAAGTATTAACATCGTAATGACATCACTGGACATGAATCTCCAGAAATGAAGAATATCCACTGTAGATAAAAGGGATAGAAGGTTCTAAAGTCTGACCTCGTCATACCACACAATAGAGATGGGGGCGGCGGGGTAGCCTAGTGGTTAAAGCGTTCGTCCGTCATGCCGAAGACCCGGGTTCGATGGGTACAATATGTGAAGCCCATTTCTACTGTCCCCTGCCGTGACATTGCTGGAATATTGCTAAAAGCGGCTTAAAACTAAACTAACTAAAACTGACTAAAACTAAACTCATTAGAGATGGTGCTAGATTTTACTTACTACTGACGGTACGGATTATATTGGTTTAAGACAGGCGACTAACGAGACTGGGTTCACAGACTCGTTGAAATGGTTGATGTAAATCATCGATTCCGAACTTGTTACACTCGCTGGGGCTCATCTTTACGGGCGAAGGGGATAACACCATAATGTCGGCTTGGAGTCAGACTACTGTATCAATGTCATTGATGTTACTCTGCGACGTGGTATCATAGTTGACTGGCTCTTTTAAACCAGAATAAGACCAGACTAGTCACAAATATAAGCACACACACGCACACGCACACGCACACGCACACGCACGCACACACAGACACAGTGCACGCACACAGACATGCAGCTTGCCATACAAGTAAACTAATACTGAACGCGACTATAAACACTATTTCACATAACCTAACCATATTGTTAGAATTAATGTGGAATGGAATAAAGCGAAATGAACATACAGTCTATCATAGTTTAGTCATCAGTGTTCATCATTAGCCAGGTATCATTACGTGTGGTTCTACATTACAAAACCGTTATGACTCTAGAATGTGCTAAAAGAAAAGACATAATGCCTGTTCTTAGTAATACGTTTTCTGGGCTCTATAAAAGCGTATGATTCTGGGTTCGAATCCCAGTTCGCCCCAATTACGTTTCTAGTTTTGTAAGCACCATCTCGTGGGTTTCACCAAAATTGTGAACGTCTGAGACCAGGAACACCAGGTGTTCTCCCAAAATAAGCATATATGGCATGCTAAAACTGGAACACCATTAAACCAAACCAAACCTCACTCACTCATGATGATATCTTCCAAAGACTTCGAAAATGTATGTCTGTTACTTTAAACAGATTCGGAATATGAATTGGATAAAGCAGAAAAAAGCCTTCAGTCTACTTCAGTCCAACGCTTAATCTCAGAATATATATATATTTTAGATAGAAACAAACAATTCCTTTTCAATTGAAAAAAAGGGGCCCTGTGAGACGGGAGATTCAGAATCTGAGGAAACCTAGACTTGTTTCATTTTGGGCTTTGGCATTGCAAAAGGGAAAATAATTCGGTTCAGGGACTGAGACAGAACAGCTTCAGCTGAATTCAGCAATATTCCAACACATGATACCTGCCTGTAAATAAAAGGATCGGTGATCTTATCTCAGTAGCAGACACGCATAACCTGCCGTTTCAAATACCACTGAGAAAGGCTAACCTAGACTCTCCTAAATTGTCATGTTCGTTCAAGATTGTTTTTCATTCCTGCTTTTGGAGTGCTGCATCTTTGAATACCGAAAATCTTGAGTTTTGAACATTATGACGATATTTTCTTTTAAATTTTTTGACAAACATTATAATTATAATATCGAGTGATTTTGATACGCGTTTTCATTGGCTCTTTGCCAATAACTTATCCTTTGATAATAGCTCGTGTCATTTTCCAACAAGTTGCATACGTCGAAATTTGGATCCACGTTCATCTGATAAAATGTGTTTCATGCAACAAATCGTATACACCTAGATGTATCATGTGAACCACAGCACCGAGTAGTCGCCCTTTGCGACCTTCATAGGCTGTTGGGGGCTATTTGTAGCCCGGATGTCACACAGCGCACCGTTTTAGTAAACGTTTTCAAAACGAAAACATATCCGCTAATGTTTAGAAAAGCATGATAATACGTTGACGGTGAACGTCTAGCAGCTCTCCGAATGTGTTTACTTCAGATAAAGTGTGAAAATACATAGCTAGTCATTATCCTACTGCTATAAAGATCCTAGATATTTATAACCCCTGTCTCGCGGTTTTCTTAATGGATCAACTAATTGCAAACTGACTCACAAATTGTAATCTTCGACATTCCCCCTACAAAACAAATAAATAACTTGTGAGCTAGCTGCCAATGTTTGCTTTGGTTTTTCATTAAAGGCGGTGGGTAATGAACATGTTTGTGTACACAGATGCCAATATCATTATCTAGATGTCTAACAGGATTTACACCTTAACACACACATGCCCGCCTCTGTTTTTACTGTGTTGACAGATCAAGACATTTTCAGGTTTTGGTGTAGCAGGCGTGTATAGACTTTGTCACGACTTCTAAGTCGTGTATTGGTTGTTTTATGCCAATACTGTCCGTAATTCTGAGTGAGTGAATTTAGTTTTACGCCGCATTCAGCAATATTCTAGCTGTATCGAGTCAGGACAAGACAGTCAAGTGATCAACAGCATGAGCATCGATCTACGTAATTGGGAACCGATGACATGTGTCAACTAAGTCTGCGAGCCTGACCACCCGATCCCGTTTGTCGCCTCTTACGACAAGCATAGGTTACTAAAGATCAATATTCTAACCCGGACCTTCACGGGTAATCAACAGCTTTAAAATATCTCTGATATGAAAGTTTGTAAACTTAACAAGCAGTGAAACATATTCAGGATGAACCGGGATTCGAACCCATGATCTCAGGTTTGCGGCATGCCCAACAGCGGACCGCAAAGCCAAAGACAACTTGGTCACTTGTACCACTCCGCATATCTGTAATACCTTATATGGTTTCCAAATGGAGCTACCTGACCCGCCATTGATACATTAGGGCCGTACATTCGTTTGAACACGGTTCTGAAGTAATATTCCATTAACACATGTAGGTCTTGCAAAAGTACATTGCAATATTCAAAATAGGCAAAACCTGAACGTTTTATGCCTGTGGCCCTGATTTCGAAGCTATGCATGCTTGGTGCATGTGTGATCCTTCTTTGATCTGCTAGTACTTTAAATGAAATGAACAACTCAAGGGGAAGGAGGAATATCGATATTATATCGAAACAGAAACTCATAATTAGCAATAAATCCTTATAATTCCAAAGTACAAGAAGCCTTGGTAATCTTGTAGAAACATTAGCAAAAACATTAGCATCAAATCTTGTATAATTCCAAACTAATAGATGCCTGGGTAATCTTGCAGAAATATTTTAAACATAATGGATGATACGGGTAGTAATCCCAGTTCATTAGCGCAACGGTATTATGGAACCAGTCATGTGTGTTTCATGTAATGCAGAAAAAATATATATTATTAATTATATTAATTAAGGTGTGGTCATATTTCCAGACGAAATATTGATCCATATACGAGTATTTTAAGATGAGACTACGTGCCTTTAAAAAGCCGCATCACATTCTATTGATCAATGGTAAGAATGGCATTAATATGGCCAATTTAATGTGTGCAATGGGTTGCTGTAGAAACCAATTTCAAATTCTGACCATTTGAGAAAAACATGAAAAGTTAAAAGGTGGATGATCCGTGTCATTTCTATTTTATTTGTTCAACTATTTCAGAGAAATAGAAAATTTAAAATCAACATAAAAGTCACCGTTACCACAGTTAAATAGTTGTAACATGCAAATAGCCTTATCTCATCAAATGAACTGTAAATTTATGACCATTTTATCTGTTCGCAAAGTCGTTGCTGTAGAAACCAAATTAACTTGGGTCGTACATTAACAGTTGAAAGATTGGATCTCCCAAACAAAGTTTTAGCTTCCGTGCTGATTATCAGTTTAAGAATGTGCGTCAGTTCAGTATCAACGGAATCGTAAATACTCGACACACTTTCAAGTATATAAAAACAGCCATTAACAGTTTCTAGAAGAAAATATGTCATATGCATTCTACAAGTTTTACTTAAGTCGCGATTACACTTAATGGTTACATATTTTGATCATTGTGACTGTATTATATAGCTCAGTGTCATTAATATGTTAACGATATTGATATTGCATGTGTAAATTATTTTTATCTTCGACCAGTGTACATGCATGTCACACTCATTTTATCTTTACTGTACGTGTAAAAGTTTAATCTTTGAACATTGTACATGTATCTCAAAAGTCGCCATATCTTTTCACGATGCATACGACAAAAAAATATATTTGAATAGTGTCCAACACGATCGTATATGAAGCTCTGAATAATGTGTCTAATTCTGCTTACCATAACAGGGCCTAAGGTTACCTTTTTAAATAATATGTGTGTGTGTGTTGGGTGGGTAGAGGCACTATCCAGTGTTTTATATCAATATCCAATTCTGGGGAGCAGCAATCAAGTTATGTCCATTATGTGATGGTCTGTACCGCCTCCGTGGGTGAGAAGTACTATCGAGTTATATCAATACTTTGGTGTACAAAATCCAATCTGTAAAACAATTCTAGGGGGCAGCAATCAAGTGCTTCCTTTATGTCTGACAATCTAGGTATATCTGTCAGTCTAGTTACGTATGACGGTCTAGTTACGTCTGACACTCTAATTATGTCTGACAATCTAGGTATATCTGTCAATCTAGTTATGTCTGACACTCTAATTCTGACAATCTATTATTCCTGACAATCGCATTATGTGTATACAATTATGTAATTACCTAGTTATGTCTGACGGTGTAGTTATTACCGACAGTCTCGTTATGTCGGACAGTGTGCATGCCTTCTTTACTTCGATACCAGAGAGCTCTTCACTGTACGTCTCACGTCTTGTCTTTGTCTATTTCAGTTTGCAGCTTTCTTCAGTTTTACGTGGCAATACGGCGAGTTTATGTGCAAGTCCGTCCACTACATACAGAACGTCTCCATGATCTGTTCAGTGTGGACCCTCACTACCATGAGCATAGAACGGTAGGTACTTTCACTACCATGAGCACAGGATGGAAGGTACTTTCATTACCATGAGCATAGAACGGGGGTGCTTTCACTGCCATGAGCATAGAACAGGGATGGTAGGTACTTTCACTACCATGATGAGGTACTTTCATAGATGAGCATAGAACGGTAGGTACTTTCACTACCATGAGGGATAGATGACATAGGATGGTAGGTACTTTCAATACCATGAGCATAGAACATAGGAACTTTCACTACCATGAGCATAGAACGGTAGGTACTTTCACTACCACGAGCATATGACCATGATGAGCATAGTACTTTCACTACCATGAGCATAGAACTGTTGGTACTTTCACTACCATGAGCATAGAACGGTAGGTACTTTCAATACCATGAGCATAGAACGGTAGGTACTTTCAATACCATGAGCATAGAACGGTAGGTGCTTTCACTACCATGAGCATAGGATGGTAGGTGCTTTCACTACCATGAGCATAGAACAGTAGGTACTTTCACTACCATGAGCATAGAACAGTAGGTACTTTCACTACCATGAGCATAGAACGGTAGGTACTTTCACTACCATGAGCATAGAACAGTAGGTGCTTTCACTACCATGAGCACAGGGTGGTAGCTATTTCCACTACCATGAGCATAGAACGGTAGTTATTCATTCAAAGCGTTGTACCATGAGCACTCAGTGAGTGATAATCCTCTCACTAACAGTAGCATAGAATGATTGGCACTTTCATTACCATGAGCATAGGATGGTAGGTACTTGCACGTCCACGAGCACAGATGGGTAGATATTCATTCATACCATGTGTGTCATGAGCATACATTAAGTGATAACCCTCTCACTAACGCGAGCATAGATCTATACGTACTTTCACTATCATGACCATAGGATGGTTTGGTACTTTCACTGCCATGAGCATAGGATGGTAGGTGCTTTCACTGCCATGACCATAGGATGGTAGGTGCTTTCACTACCATGACCATAGGATGGTAGATGCTTTCACTACCATAACCATAGGATAGTAGACATTTTCAATACCATGGGCATAGAATGGTAGGTACTTGGAAATTTACTACCATGATCATGGAGTAATGGGTATTCCTCGTACTAACAGTATAGAGGTATCATAATAATGGGATGGTAGGTATTTGCACGCCCATGCCATTCGTACCACATGCTTGGAGTGAGCGATATTCCTCTCACTGGCATGAGCATAGAACGATAGATACTTTCACTGACATGAGCGCACTGTGCAGATACGCCTTTCACTGCCAAGAGCATACAAGGGGATATTCTCATTTGACCACAACGTGCAAAGATTGATTCGCAAAATGTGCAACGTCGAATGGGTCAGATAGTTTCTCGTAAATGTGTGTTCACTTATTCTTTTAATAAGAAACCTACATCAATATCCATTGATTCTCTGTTCCAAGAACATGTTCCCCGTAAAAGTCTCTACATCCCAACTTAGGTTGTCATTACAAGCAAGACTTTGTAGTATTTGTTTAGTTGAACTATAAACAAAATCAGCATTCGTACAAGTAATGATATTAAATAACAAAGAAACACACTTTTAAGCATATAATTCATACAAAAGTTATTCTTTTCAAATGACTAGATACAGTTTTCTTTTCTTCTCTGTATAGTGTTCAAAGATCAATTGTTAACAAGTTATCAATCAATCTAAAGTACCTTTTCCTCAGTCCTCGTGTCGTAAGTATTAAGGTTTTGGCGTATTAAGGCTTAAGGTTTTATCAAATTACAAGCCACAGAACGTATTTACAAATCCCTTGATCACCATTGGAATGTAACGCATATGTCTTCCATTAGAGGCTAGACTGGTTGGCTTTGCACACTGCAAACTGTGACAATGAAAAACGTTTTGTGGTAAGAAACTACATTGAAAGAAATATTTAAGCCTTGTCAATTAGTTTTCATGCTTCTTATGATAGCTTCAACCGGCTTACGTTACCGTGGCTTCAGAGCTGCAAGGAGTTGGTGTTTTATTTGGCTCTCTTCTTCCCAAACATAGCTTTGTGGTGCAGGGAGACATGCCAACTCATCATTTCGTATGGGATTTCTTCTTTTCACAAACGAATCCATTCCTCTGCTGACTTTCACGATTCGTCAAATCGAAAGGCTGAAGATATTAGGACATATTTTGTGCTGGAAATGATTGGTCTGATGACGTATTTGGTTGATGGATGTACAAATTTGCCTACTGTACATACCATTGTGATTTTGCGTTCAGGGCCCCGTTCCTCAAAGCGATCGTAGCGCTACGAGAGTCGTAAGCCTATGTTAAAGTATGGGAGTTACAATCATCTTAGCGCTACGATCGCTTTGAGGAACGGGGCCCAGGTCTAACTAACCATCAACGGAAACTTCTGAAAAAGTTAGATCATGCATGTGTACATTAAATTATTGGAGTCTTTGAGCTCGTGATAAGCATTGGTATATACTTTAACACGTGATGGATGAAGATTGCTTCATCTATTCGTGTTTTATCAGCTTGCTCGAATATATCATTTTGGGTTCGACTCCCATTTTGGCCTTACCATTGGTTTGTCAGTGCCAGTCCGCTTTGCAGCGTTGCGTTTCTTGTGTTCACCAGGAACTATGGTCACAGGTTGAGTCCCCGTTGGCCCGATTGTGTTTCTGACGTTGCTACCACGTTTGACCACTGACCACTGACCACTGACCACCACTTTGTCGCCATGACACCGGTGTATATGAATTTAACTAAAGAATTGTCTCCTTTCTGGAGTATATACAGGCTATTGACCCGTAATGTATAACTTGGGCTAATACATATGAGGTTTGTCGGTCTCCATGTCAGGTATAAATGACCACTCAGAAAGAGTGTTATGACAATAGCTCACACTTACGGTGGACCTGAGGATCCAGGTCACAACTGGTCTTGCGACTCGGAGGACCGGGTGGTCAGGCTCGGTGACGTAGAAGCTGACACATGTCATTGTATCCCAGTTGCCTGGGGCGGTGGGGTAGCCTAGTGGTTAAAGCGTTGGCTCGTCACGCCGAAGACCCGGGTTCGAAGCCCCACATGGGTACAATGTGTGAAGCCCATTTCTGGTGTCCCCCACCGTGATGTTGCTGGAATATTGCTAAAAGCGGCGTAAAAACCAAATTCAGTCAGTCAGCCAGTTGCCTACATCGATGCTCATGGTGTCAATCACTGGAGTGTCTGGTCCGGAGTCGAATATTTACAGACCGCGGTCATATAGCTGGAAAATGACTGAGTGCGGTGTTAAACAATAAACAAGCATGTACAATGGTCGAAAACAGCTATGTACCAAACAAAGTCTTAGATCTGTTATTAGCGATGATGAGACAGGTACAATTTGCCTGGCCCAGTTTTCGTTTGCTCCCAGCCCATACGACAGGCAGACGAAACTATTATCAGAAACACTGCAAAATGGTACACGTCTAAGGCTTCAGTTACTTCAGGCTTCTCTCCTGCATTAAGCAGACACGTGGTTTGACTCAACTCAAATGGATTTTTAGTATCCACGGCCATCGTACCAAAAATGAGGTATTGTCTAAAAGAAAATTAATTCACTGATTGACCCTTTATGATATTCAGTAATGTTGTTGAGTAAGAATTTTTTTAGTCGCTTTTAACATGTTAGTATGCTAAATGAATACAATTCCATAAATGAAGTGTGGTCTGATATTTCAATGCGATGGTAGACATGTAGCGCCTTAATAGTCACGAACATGTGCTTTAAAATTAACTTGATAAAGAAATCAGCCTCTAAGTTAAAATTAACTTTGAAAGACCGTAGAAATTGAAATCCTTAAGTCAGCTCATTTAAATCCATACTACAGCTTCTTGTTAATAGCCGATGTGACGATAAATTGTAACTCACTCACTCTTGTTAATAACAGTTAATAATTGCATCTTCAGTTGTGACCTTGAACATACTAGCAAAGTAGAATCCACGATAAAAGACGGATTCTCCTCTTCGAGGTTTCTTTCAAGGTGACTGATATTGGCAAATCCTTTGTGCTCGACTAGAGCAACATCCCGCATCTGAAACGTGGGGGAGGAGGGGGGGGGGTATTGACATATCGTCGACGGTCAGGCCCGTACTAAAGGATGGAAGCTAGAGACAAACTCCAGAATACCCATACAAGGGAACACTTCAGCCACAATGGGAATGTACACTTAAAACTGTTATAGCATCCAATATCCAATCATAACACTATTATATGTCTAGTGGTGCTTGGTAAGATCTATCGTTGAAATGAAATAGATTTACCACGTGAAGCTAAAGAGAATGGTAGTAAGCTGTCTGTGAACGTTGTTGTACCCTTGTCTATTGCATTATCCCGTGTGGCACCAATTACCAGGCAAATTAGCACCATTGAAAATCAAAAGCCAGGGACCTTTATCCCACCCCGCTTGTAATGGGTTCGGTTCCATCATGTCGACAGCGGTGGGCGAAAAGTTTAAGAGCAACATGATCTTCACATCATGATGAAGTTGACGCGGTTGGATCCGATGAATCTAATTTATTGTTAACAGAACATGTTAGACAGTAGTTACAGTGGATTTGGCAGATTCTGCGGCATAGAAAAACTCATTTATAATCATTTCATGACAAATAGTGTTTTCCACGCCTTATATTTCCAACAGTAAATTATCAGTATATTGCGCCCATAGATTGATGTGATGTTAGATTAATGTTTTATCGTCCTAAACCGTAGCTGTCTGGGAGTTTGTGTTATAGTCCAGTCTTCATGATCGGCGGCAGCAACGGCGTAAAGTGACTGGGACCGTTGTCGGCGTCGAAACTGCAATGAAAGTAAATTTTAATGGCACTGTAGCATTTTATAAGTACGGACTCCAGAGATTTCTTCAGCTGATTCACCATGTACAACTCATCATTGATAGCACTTCAAATGTTTTATATAACAAGAACACCGTTTCCCTTGACTTCAGGAGTTTCTACTAAACACAACTCCTATT